CAGCAGCCAGAAGGGAAGCCACAATGAAATGGTGGCACAGCTGAGGAGGGGACAGTGAGCCCCTCCACGGCCACCCAGCTTCACCAGGAGACTGATGTGACGGCCCCGGAGGGCCAACCCTCTGAAAATGGAAGTGAAAACCAGGTTAGAGCCGGCTTGGCCCCGTCACCCAGTGCCATGTTTGACTTTCACTTTCAGCAGGGGAAAAAAAACCCTCCTCCTGGAAGAGCAGCAGCTGCACACAAACCTCTGCCAGCCTACTCCAGGAACAGGCTGTGCTCTCCTATCCCATCCTGACACCAACCCCTGTACCCCCTCTTTGCCTGGCTCCTTCACCTGCTCCTCCAAGGGCTTTGCACCAGCCAGACACCCAGAGGAAGGGGCACCCTGAGGGCTCAGGGGTTGGGAATCCAGCCCAGCCCTGCCCTAGATGCATGGGGAGGTGCAAGGAACCCGGAGGAATGCTGATGTCGCATCTCCACCCCTGCCACGCTAGTGTTGGCAGCTCTGCCCAGCAAAGCTCCTGCAGGACATAGCAGAGGGGATGGGGAGAGGCAGGAGCTCCAGGGCTGGAGCTGCCACCAGCAGGGTCGATCCCCTGGCTGATACCCCAGGACAAGAAGTTGCTTGCTCACAGGGAAAGCTTTCCTGGCAAAACCCACACTTGGGAGGGCTGAGGAAAAAAAGAAATGAATGAGCATTTTATCGACACCACGCCACGGGCAGGAGAAAGCAAACAGCGCCGGGCTCGATGCGCCAGGCATGCGATCGATGAGCCCGTGTGGGCTCCCCGTGCCCGCGTCCCGCCGGGGCCCAGCGCAGCCTTTGAGGAGGGACAGTCGGCACCCACAGCCCCACAATGCCCCATTGTTCGCCCCGGGCCGCGTGTGAAACCTGGGGAGAAGCCTGTTTGCTTTGCCCGCTCGGCCCTCTTATCTTATCAGCTCCGCCGCCACAATGGGCCAGGTGTACTCACCATTTTACCGTCGGGAGAGAGCAAACCGTGGCCTGGGTCCAAGCCTGCCGGGGAGACCTGCTGCAGGACAGCCTGGCTGGTGG